TTGGCGTTCGGAACAGTTGGCTATTATCTGCGAAGGCGATTTTCTTGTTTTGTCCAGCAATTAGCCACTGTTTTATCCCGAGTTTGCATGCAAGGCGCTGATTGGCTACCTTCTCGTTGCTGATGAGTGCTGATTGGATGATTTACGTTGGGTGGGGACCTCCGGGGATGTGATTGGTTTGCTTTTGAGTACTTTTGAATGGCTCTTTGGGGGATGATTGGTTGATATAAGATGGCTGGGGGCTTCGAAGTGCTGATTGGGTGATTATTGGTCGTTTCTGAAAGCTGATTGGGGGTAAACGTTGGTGATTTCAAAGTGCTGATTGGCAGTGACTCAAAACACCTCTCGGTCGGTTCTAAAATGCCATCAGATAACTCTTCTATTTGGTGATAATTTGTAATTCTCAATGATTTGATAACATGATGATCACTTCATCGTCTTCAGACGCTAACAAGCCACGCTAATCTAACTATTCACTGCTAACATTCACTAACAATCTTCAGACACCTAATCAACTCTGGTTAATGTTTTGGTGATTGTAGAAAGCTGTAAACAATGACCATCTTTTAATGTAGACAAAAGTTTAAGTAAATGTAATTTATATCATTGCATTTAATGAAGAAATAGTCTATTTTTATTTATAGAACGAGACTATGTGTCTACTCAGGCGCTTTCATATATAAGCCGGTTATATTAACATATATCACTGACGACGATATAACAAGATATACGTCAGAACTAGATCTAAACTAATTAAAATAACAACAATAATTATATTTGCTAACAACATATAATTAGTGCAAATAATGATATTATATAATAAGTACATAATTTTACTAATAATAACAACAGCAATAATAACCCATAAGGAGAATTAACAATAAGGGTGAAAGTAACAATAATTTTTAACATATATATAATATATATTATGTATATATATATATATATATATATATATATATATATATATATATATATATATATATATATATATATATATATATATATATATATATATATGACAATGTCAGACCACGGACATTGTCACTCCTTCTGAAGATGTATTAATATACGAAAGTACTTAAGGAAATTCCTGTTTCATTTTTCCTCCGTGGTCTGACACTGTCACATTTTAATCACGTGTTTATTTTCGTGACACACATACACACACACACACACACACACACACACACACACACACACACACACACACACACACATACACACCATATATATATATATATATATATATATATATATATATATATATATATATATATATATATATATATATATATATATATGTATGTAGAGAGAGAGAGAGAGAGAGAGAGAGAGAGAGAGAGAGAGAGAGAGAGAGAGAGAGAGAGAGAGAGAGAGAGAGATATTAAGCGCACTATAAAGAGAAAAGCGAAAATGCTTGGGCCCGCCCGGAGTCTATAGGTGTTAGGATACTCACCGCTAAAGCGGGTTTCATCGTCTGCTCTCTTTCAGAGTTCTGCTCTATCCGACTGCTCTCTGCGCAGCTCTTTATCCCATCGTCTGCTATTTCTTCCCTCCTTTACTTTCTCCCCCTAAATGTTCTACTTTCTCCTTTCCTTTTCCCTACAAGGTTCACCTTTTCTCTTCATCTACCTGCTTTCCCTTTCCGTCTGCTGTCTTTCTCATCTATATTTCTGTCGTCTCTCATTTCTCCCTAGTTTGCTTTCTCTTCCTCCCTTTCTTTTGTCTGCTTTATCCTACATTTGTCGTCCACTCTAGCCCCTTTCATCCAGGAGGTCGTCTTGTTCTATCCCTCCTTCTCTCTTATCCACCTCCTCTTCCTCTATTTTCGCTGATTTTATTCTCTCCTTGTACGTACCTTCTTTACCTTTTATATGTCCTTTTTTCATTTTTATCATCGTCTGTTTGTTACTGTTTTGTGTTACTCTTCCGTTTATCAGATGTTTTCTTTCTAGTTTTTGTCTGTCTCTCCCCTTTCTCCTTGTTATCAATTACCATATCCTTCAGTCCAATTTCTTTCCTTATTCTTGAATGTGTCTCTCCTGTTATCTTACCTTGCTCTCCTTCTTCCTGTCCTTTCACACCAACCTCGTTCATTCCTTACCCCTCTCACACCTCTTCCATGGCTCTCCCTGTCCTCTCCCGCACAGTGTTGGGAGGGGGCAGCAGCAGGCTGTGGAGGTCTCAACACCCCAGCGAACCTCGACCCCTTGATTAAAACCGGCAGTTAAGCGGTACGAAGCCAGGCCGAGCAGCAAAATGAGCCTTGTCCCCAATAAAGCACATGTTTTCGAGGGTAATAAAGAGGGAGAGTGAGAGGGAGAGTGGGAGGGAGAGTGGGAGGGAGAGTGGGAGGGAGAGTGAGAGGGGGGGATTCAGTGTTAAGATGTGATGTGGAGAGTGAGGCTGGTACATGCTCGTAAGGGGAAGGGTATGATTTGTCTTTTTTAGGGTTTAAGTTTGCAAGGGTTGGGGATGGGGGTGCTACCGAGGAATGAGATGGGTGGTGGTGCGGGGTTTTGGAGGTACTTATGGGGTTTTGGGTTTACACTATGGGCTGGGGTGCGAGCAGCCGCGTCCAACAGCCTGGTTGATCAGTCCGGCAACCAGGAGGCCTGGTCGACGACCGGGCCGCGGGGACGCTAAGCCCCGGAAGCACCTCAAGGTAACCTCAAGGTGGTATTGTGTGTGGGTAGCGTTAGTGAAGAACGGTGAAGTGGTGAAACTTGGGGGCGTTAGTGTAGTGGAATTGGCTCAAGTGGCCTCAGATTCAACAGCTTTATTCGCAACTACCTTATACACATCATTACAATAACGAATTGGACTAAGTAGTTATATACAGCAGCCTAAATCACACTTATATTTCCTCATAGTGATAGCTTTAGTGCCTTAAAAGTTAAGGCTTTGTAGTGGTGGTAACTGGTGGTAGAAGTCTAGCTAGTAGGTCAGTTATTAGGGGTTCTGAGGAAGATAATACTAGTGGTGGTTCAAATATATATATATATATATATATATATATATATATATATATATATATATATATATATATATATATATATATATATATATATATATATATATATATATACATATATCACCAGCCCAAAACCCGACACCTTCCGTACTCATCTTTCACAAAAACACAAACAAATAAATGCCGCAATCATGCGCTAACTACCAAACGGCTGTAATGCCCAATTAATCCAACTGGTGTAGGCAATTAGTTGTGATTATCTTGGTCTGAAAGTATATACTAAATGTCTTCGGGTGAAAATTATAGCAGTCTCCTGAGCACACAGTGATAACATATATAGTAATCATAGTGTGTCTTTACTATGTTAGTATTAGCTTGCGTTATCGTATAGGATTATAGATGTTACAATTATTTAGATATCCGGATTATATTTGTCATACATAATGGGAATCGCTGGCAGTAATATTTAATTCACAGTGGAACAGTTTATTCAGCGATTTCCAGAGTGTATATATATTGAGTTTTCATATATATATATATATATATATATATATATATATATATATATATATATATATATATATATATATATATATATTTCTTGTGTTGATTGCAATTATATGTATCAAGTATAATCTCCATTTGTAATTATTGTTATTGTGTGTTCAACATTATACCAACCTCCTGCAATAAGCGCGCGCGCGCACACGCACACACACACACACACACACACACACACACACACACACACACACACACACACACACACACACACACACATGGGTATGAGATACGAGGAGAGACTACGAGAACTAAGCCTCACGTCTCTGGAAGACAGAAGAGTTAGGAGAGACATGATCACCTCATACAAGATTCTCCGAGAAATTTGTAAGGCAGATAAAGACAATTTATTTACCACGCCGTAGCGGACATGTCGCTAGTGCAAACCTAAAGGAGCCTTAGAGATATTAGAAAGCACTTGTTTTAGTGTCAGAGTAGTATAACAAAGGGAATGCATTAGGTAGTGATGTGGTGGAGGCTGACTCCCTACACAGTTTCAAATGTAGTTATGATAAAGCCCAATAGGTTCAGAAATCCATACAAGGTCTGTTATGCACTCTGTGCTGTGGTTGCTGTGCACTGCTTCTTTTGTCAATGCTTGAATTTTTTCCCTTGCTTGTATTCACTTATGTCAGTACTGGACTTTTTCATGAAAGTAGTTTTATCAACTATCATTGTTTAATGGGTTTAAAGGGAGCCGGTCGGCCGAGCGGACAGCACGCTGGACTTGTGATCCTGTGGTCCTGGGTTCGATCCCAGGCGCCGGCGAGAAACAATGGGCAGAGTTTCTTTCACCCTATGCCCCTGTTACCTAGCAGTTAAATAGGTATCTTGGTGTTAGTCAGCTGTCACGGGCTGCTTCCTGGGGGTGGAGGCCTGGTCGAGGACCGGGCCGCGGGGACACTAAAAAGCCCCGAAATCATCTCAAGATAACCTCAAGATAGGAATGACACTTTTTCTGGGAGAGTCCCAGAAAAATTGACAGTTGAGAAGCGGGACCAAAGAGCCCCAGCTCAACCCCCTGGTGAGTACACGCTGCTCCACCACTGATTGTACGAATATATTTGATATTGGCACTGAGTGGCACCCTGATCGCCCTGCCCATCCGATCACCACACCACCTACTGCGCTGACGCATCGAAACCCAAAGAATTTCCTGAACTGTTTCAGATGTCATAACCCGCCAAATACACACCGAAACTACGACGTTGGTACAACGATCGAACAACTTTCAACACTAACCAGTTATAACAACCAATATACAAGTTGTAACAACGTTCTAATGTCATAAACACGTTCAAGTTGTAACAACCCAAAGTTGTTTCAAGCGGAAAATAGAGACAGTTACGGTTTGTGTTTCCAGGGAACCCGCCACTCAATCCGGCCTTCGTGAAAACTTAAGTTTTCTATAAAACAATCTCAAATGAGTTTTGCTGGCTAAATGTCTTTGTATTGTTAATAGAGGAAATGGTACGTGTTTACAAGAATGTGAAAGTGGTATGATTGTTGCTCTGGACGCGATTGTGATCGTGAGAGCAGATATTTCGTGTCGTACAATCATCAGTATTATTACGATTGTCGTGGTCGTTGCTCTGTCGTGTCTCTTGCTGCTTCTCTCATCTCTATCTCTCTCTCATCTCTCTCTCATCTCACTTTCTTGTCTCCATCACACTCCGCAGCCTCTCTCTCTGTCGATGATGCTTGGCTCCTCTGTGGAACGCTGCTTCCTCCAGCAATATCATTCCTTCCCCACTAACCCATACTTACCCATCAATCTCTGCCTACCAATCAATCTCTGGCTACCAATCAATCTTTGTTTCACCCCACCAATACTTCCCTCACCCCTCCAATTCCCGTCTCTCCATCAATCCCAACTTTGCTCTATTCAATCCGTGTTTCCCTTCTTCCTCCCATCAAGCCACCCCTTCCCCCTTCAATCCCTATCTCCCTATTCCTTCTCCTCTCGCTAGAAAACTTTTCAACCCCAGGGAATTAATTCTTGCAGGGGCTATGAGGATCTGATAATTGACTGGGGCGTCTGTGAAGCGGTTTAGACTGACAAATGACCTCCACACGCTTGGAGTCAGGTCAGGTCAAGCCCCTGTTTAGGGTGGGGGGGGGGGGAGCAGAGCGATCAGGGGAAGAAAGGAAGGAAGGGGGGTTGGACACGCCCTGAAAATAGGGAGTAAGTCACTGCCAACAAGGTGAGAATCAGAGTAGGGGAAAAATAATTGGGGAATGAGAGTAAAAGAGGGGAAGGAAAGAGGGAGGAAAAGAAGGAGAGAGATGGAAGTGGAAGAGAAGAAACAGGTCAAGGGAACAAAAAACAAAAATTTGTTTAGTTGTTTCATTCACCAAGCTGACACAATAATTACCGGATTGGGCTCAGACACGATAACTACCCCCCGATTTTATATATATATATATAATACTCAAAGTGTGTTTAGGTCGTGTTCGCGTGTGTGTGTTTGTCTGTTCCCCTTATTTGTTGGATAATTTATTTGTTGTATTTGATGTCTGCGGTCCCCAGCTAGGAATAAAATAATCTATTATGGGAAAAATCTATTATGGGAAATAAAATCTATTATGGGAAAAATCTATTATGGGAAATAAAATTTCCCATAATAGATGGGAAAAATGTTAACTGTCTTTATCCATGCATCAGTAGAGTTCTGCTTCTATATTATGCACCCCATACCCATCCAGTGGGGGGATGGTGTTAAGGGGTTACAGAGGCACATAATGGGGGGCTCAGGACCTGAACCCCATTAGTTCGTTTAGCTAAGCAGGTGACAATCTTTTGACGCTTCACAACTGTTAATTTGAACCTGTTGTTGTTGGGTTTGTTAATATTTTTTGCTGTATTTGTTGTAGTTGTTGTTGTTTTTTACTGTTGGTGTTGTTTACATTCTGTAGTGAGTCCTGAATTTTATTATTATTACCATAATTTTTATATAATTATTGTTTTATTTATATATTAGTGTCATTATTATTATTATTAATAGTAGTACATTCATTACAATTATTATTAATTTTTAATTGTCATAATTTTAAATTATAGATAATTATCATAATTTTTCACCAAATATCATTTCACATTCTCTCTCTCTCTCTCTCTCTCTCTCTCTCTCTCTCTCTCTCGTCTGGGTGAACATTTACCACCAGACGGATTACTATTAGTGTGTACTAAAGGATTTACGGCCTGACTGCCTTCTATTGGCTGACTATGGCAGTCAGCTGACCAACAAACTCAGGGATTATCGTGATAAATGAACTGGGGATCCCTTCTTCTCTCTCTCTCTCTCTCTCTCTCTCTCTCTCTCTCTCTCTCTCTCTCTCTCTCTCTCTCTCTCTCTCTCTCTCTCTCTCTCTCTCTTTCTCTCTCTCTTTCTCTCTGTTTCTCCCTCTCTCGCTGCCTAGCCATGATCTTTCTCTTCTTTGAGCTATTCCTATTTCCTTACTACATAATTTTCCTCCTTTTCATTTCCCATCTTCGTTCCTCTCATTACTTCTCCTATTTGATTCCTCACCTATCCCAAGTCGCCCTCTATCTCTCCTCCACAATTGTCCCTGGTTCCTTCTGCTCCTCTGTAGTTCCCCGTTCCACCCCTCCTCTACTTTCCCCCTTCCTTCTCCCCCTTTTTCTTCTCTCCAGTTCCCCCTCGCTTCCCTTTCTCACCAGTGTAGTAATGGTTTAATGAAATTCTTGCCGTTGCTTAGCATTTGCATAGCGTCTGGAGAGTTTAGGTTTTCATTAAGTCTTTGAATGCATGTCTAGTGATGGTGAGTGTCGTGTTCTTTCTTTCTTTCTTTCTTTCTTTCTTTCTTTCTTTCTTTCTTTCTTTCTTTCTTTCTTTCTTTCTTTCTTGAGAGAGAGAGAGAGAGAGAGAGAGAGAGAGAGAGAGAGAGAGAGAGAGAGAGAGAGAGAGAGAGAGAGAGAGAGAGAGAGAGAGAGAGAGAGAGAGAGCGCAGAGACACCGTGGTTTAGTTAGACGTGAGGAGAAACAGGAATGAAAACAGAATAAGAGGAAGAGACAGAGAAAGGAAAAAAAAAGGTTAAGAGAAGAATAATGATAATGCAAGAGAAGGAAAACAAGAAAACATTCACATGACTAAATCTAGACAATGTTTAATGATCTATTGGCCACGATAGTCAGTTTTCTTTTTCCAGCCACAATCTTAAACATTCTTTTTCCAGCCACGATCCTAAACATTCTTTTTCCAGCCACGATCCTAAACATTCTTTTTCCAGCCACGATCCTAAACATTCTTTTTCCAGCCACGATCCTATTCTTTTCCAGCTACGATTCTTTTTCCAGCCACGATCCTAAATATTCTTTTTCCAGCCACGATCCTAAACATTCTTTTTCCAGCCACGATCCTAAACATTCTTTTTCCAGCCACGATCCTAAACATTCTTTTTCCAGCCACGATCCTAAACATTCTTTTTCCAGCCACGATCCTAAACATTCTTTTTCCAGCTACAATCCTAAACATTCTTTTTCCAGCTACGATCCTAAACATTCTTTTTCCAGCCACAATCCTAAACATTCTTTTTCCAGCCACGATCCTAAACATTCTTTTTCCAGCCACGATCCTAAACATTCTTTTTCCAGCCACGATCCTAAACATTCTTTTTCCAGCCACAATCCTAAACATTCTTTTTCCAGCAACGATCCTAAACATTCTTTTTCCAGCCACGATCCTAAACATTCTTTTTCCAGCCACGATCCTAAACATTCTTTTTCCAGCCACGATCCTAAACATTCTTTTTCCAGCCACGATCCTAAACATTCTTTTTCCAGCCACGATCCTAAACATTGTTTTTCCAGCCACGATCCTAAACATTCTTTTTCCAGCCACGATCCTAAACATTGTCTATCCAATAATGACACAAATAATATTTTGTGTCACCACACGAAACATTTCCTTTTCAGTTACAATAGGCGTAAAAATATTGCTTACCAGTTACAAGAGCCCAACAAAGAATTAATTCCTTATTAATATCGGCCTTCTAAACATTATCTTTCTAGTTACACTAGACCTACTGAACCTTTCTATTAACAACTGGTCTTCAGAAGACTGGATTTTTATCAAAATAGGCCTACAACACATTACTAGGTACCGTAGGTCTACGCAAAGCTGGCCCACCGTTCAAAATATGGCCTATTCAGTCACGTCCCTTAAACGCTTGTATATGAAGAGCCATACAAGTGTGAGAGTTATTTAGTATTTTCATTAAAATCACTTAGAAAATTATACAACGTCATGGTCAACCGGGAAAAAAATATTTTCTTATTTTTTCTTATAGACAATTTGCTGTTTTATCCAATTCTGAAAATCAAGCTAAATATACATACACAATATATATATATATATATATATATATATATATATATATATATATATATATATATATATATATATATATATATATGTTCACCGTTATAGGACCTTGCACACATTCCGTTTTCTTGTCTAGACGCAAGTGGAGAAGGGACACTTAAGGTAAGAAAAGGGTGAGAGGGAGATATGAGGGCTGGGGAGGGGAGACGGAATGAGGTAATAGTGAGGGGGGGGGGGAGAGGAGAGAGAAAGAGAGGGGTGTGTGAGTGGGGGTGAGAAAGGGGGAGAGGAGGAGGTGGGGTAGAGAGGCAATTTTATTAGCGCCCCCCGAATGTAAAAATGTCCCCGCGTGGCGTCACGGGCGCCATAAATCAAGAGAGGAACGGAGCCTGATACTCCGCTGCGGAGCGTTATCAGGGAGGAACTCATTTTTAGCCCGGTGCTGGGCCGGCGTGATAAGCGCCTCCAGCCCCGGTAATGGTCCCAGATCCTGCTTGCTATAATTTGCTCATCCCATCTGAGCCGCTGGGGCGGACGGGGGAGGTGGAGAGAGCCCCTCTTTGCTAAGGAGGAGGAGGAGGTGGGGTCCTGTTCCTCGAGGTCCCCCCCCCCCCCCACGAGTGTGAGGTGGGGGGGGGGGGTAAGAGCCCCCTCTCCACCATGTATAGCGTGAGGTGGAATAAATTGTCCAGTGATGATCTGGTGCTACCTCATACGAGCGGGAAAATGAGAGTGAGAGAGAGACAGAGGCGGAAAGAGTGGAGAAAAAATGTAAATAAATGCACTTGAAGAACGTTATGCGCAGTTTGGCAGACGCAGGACGGTAGACGGGTGCGTCAAGATGCTTGCGTATGGCTGGGGGTTATTAAGGGATTCTTGGTACTAATTATGATAACTGATTAACGTTGAATGAGATTGGTCAGTTGCTGCCTGGGTCACGAGGAATCTTTCTATTGTCTGATGTCTTGTGTGTTTCTTGGAACCCGGCCTCCACCCTCACTAAAACACAGCCAGGGGCCCCCACCCTCACCACAACACAGCCAGGGGCCCCCACCCTCACCACAACACAGCCAGGGGCCCCCACCCTCACCACAACACAGCCAGGGGCCCCCACCCTCACTATAACACAGCCAGGGGCCCCCACCCTCACCACAACACAGCCAAGCCACCACCCACACCACAACACAGCCAAGCCACCACCCACACCACAACACAGCCAGGGGCCCCCACCCTCACCACAACACAGCCAGGGGCCCCCACCCTCACCACAACACAGCCAGGGGCCCCCACCCTCACCACAACACAGCCAGGGGCCCCCACCCTCACCACAACACAGCCAGGGGCCCCCACCCTCACCACAACACAGCCAGGGGCCCCCACCCTCCCCACATCATAAAACCAAAGCAGTTTAAAGACAATTAGAGACCCGGCACCCACGTCCTCGTAGCGAGTCTCCCACAAAGACAACACACATACAATAATCCCTGCACATCCCTGTCGGCCATCACGGCAACAGACCTCAAAACCGCTGTCCGGACGATTGAAATACGTTATTGATAGTGGAGCGTACGAGGAATATTAATACCGGGATGAGTGGCAAAGTATGCCCGCAGCTGACGTGCCCAGAGCTGACGTGCCCAGAGCTGACGTGCCTAGAGCTGACAGTCTTCGTTTTTTTGTGTTTCATCTGAGCTGTTGACAACGCGTGTGTGTGTGTGTGTGTGGTTGGTGGTCAGTGGCTGTCAATACACAGCAGACAGCCACGTCCACTTCCTCCTGGATTAGACTGAACCCAAATGATGCCAATGGTGTCTGACGGGTCATCAAGTGGGATTCGATCCGCTTTAGACCATTTTTTTTTCTTTGTATTATCTTCTTCAGCCGCTGATCTGACACACACTAGTCACAAACCGTGAAAAGATTCAGGCGTTAAAAGGAGTGTTTGATGCGGTGTAAGTTGAGTGACTACTGATCAGACGGGATTCGATCCGATGCGAATGTGTCTCCGTTGTTCCATCACTGTAACACTATCACCTTGAAGTTGTGTTACTGTAACTAGGACTAAAGAGAGGTACAGTAAAGTACTCATTAATGAACCGCGCATCACTCGTTCTATCTGCCTTCTTTTCCTACTCCAACTTCTGGATTTATAAGAACTTTGATATAGAAGGAAATTAAAATAGCGTTATAAATCTTTATATATATATATATATATATATATATATATATATATATATATATATATATATATATATATATTTTATTATTATTACCAATATAAATATTATATTACTATATAAATATTATCATTATTATTTCCTATAAAATTATTATCTTCATAACTTTGCACAAAGACATTAACGCGATATAAATAATTATTTGTACCACTATATAATTATTATCAGCTGTGTAATAATTATCACCTACATAACAGATTACTATATTACATTAGAGTAAAATAATAGTAGTAACCTTAAACTCAATTTACTGTGAGCTGCTTGAAGCGTTCCCCGACTAACGTCTCTCTCTCCCTCCACAGGTCCCCGCTCCAGACGGATCAAACGCCGCGACCGCAATCCTGAAGAGAAGCGCCCCCGAACTGCCTTTACTTCGGAGCAGCTGGCCAAGCTGAAGAAGGAGTTCGAGGACAACAAATACCTGACGGAGAAGCGGCGACAGGACCTGGCCCGGGAGCTAGGTCTCAACGAATCCCAGATTAAAATTTGGTTTCAGAACAAGCGCGCCAAGATCAAGAAGGCGAGTGGACAGAAGACGGGCCTTGCCGTCCATCTGATGGCTCAGGGACTGTACAATCACTCCACTGTACCTGTAGAGGAAGATGATCCCTACCTCTGCTAGGGACGCGATATGCAACATGCAAATGAGGTTGAAATCCTGAGCTCCTGCTGCTGCTGCTGCTGTGCTGCTGGATGGCAGCGTCCTGGGATGTCCGCGTAGCTGCGGTCGGCCCCGCACGCGGTCTTTCGTCAGGGCACAAGCGATTAGTTGGATAAAAGATGACACATCGAGATATCGCAAGAGATCAAGAGTGTTCCGGAGCCCCGCGCGGCGCTCACCGGTGTCGGGGGTCTCTTTGTGTGTACTGAATAGCAGTGTGTCGTGACGCCGCGAGGACACACAAAGCCACGAGGACACACGAAGGCGCGAAAAGGCCGTGGCACCCGCACCTATTCCCCCAGCGAAGCCTTCAGAGCTTCACAATGGCCTCCTAGACTACCCCAATACCCACGCAAGTGGCGTCGCGAGAAGTTGTGGGCGCCGCAGACCCCAGACGCGACATGTATCATATAAGGGTTCTCGCGGGACGTGTAACATATAAGGGTTCTCGCGGGACGTGTAACATATAAGGGTTCTCGCGGACGGCCCTAACAACCCTCGTACTGTGGATCGCCTCGTCTCTTCACGCTCCTAACTAGGGTTCAGACATCCCCCAAAGCCTCTGAAAGGTTCATCTTGTACTGTTTACAAACGATCCGTATAAGCATCATTCTTCAATCTTATTTTGGGAATTTTTATTCTTTTAGAGAAAAGAAAACGTCTCTTCGGGGTCTTTCCACTACTCTTTTTGTTTAAAGGAGCGGGGAAAAATACTTAAATATATATATGAAAAATATTTTTATCTCAACACTTGCTTTGGCGTATAAGAAAGTGTTTGATTGTTCATTGTCCCGATCTGGGTGGTTATTGTTCATCATCCCCGCCTGGGTGGAGTCATCATTCACTATCCCCGCCTGGGAGGAGTCATCATTCACTATCCCCGCCTGGGTGGAGTCATCATTCATCATCCCCGCCTGGGTGGAGTCATCATTCATCATCCCCGCCTGGGTGGAGTCATCATTCACTATCCCCGCCTGGGTGGAGTCATTATTCACTATCCCCGCCTGGGTGGAGTCATTATTCACTATCCCCGCCTGGGTGGAGTCATCATTCATCATCCCCGCCTGGGTGGAGTCATCATTCACTATCCCCGCCTGGGTGGAGTCATCATTCACTATCCCCGCCTGGGTGGAGTCATCATTCACTATCCCCGCCTGGGTGGAGTCATTATTCACTATCCCCGCCTGGGTGGAGTCATTATTCACTATCCCCGCCTGGGTGGAGTCATCATTCATCATCCCCGCCTGGGTGGAGTCATCATTCACTATCCCCGCCTGGGTGGAGTCATCATTCATCATCCCCGCCTGGGTGGAGTCATCATTCATCATCCCCGCCTGGGTAGAGTCATTGTAAGCATCACTATTCACATTCCCACTATGAAGACTCGCCATTCCAACACCAACACTCCATTATTTCCGTTAGAGGGAGTCCTCTCAGCCATTCCCTAGGACCTTCCGCTGGTCTCTGTACAGCATCCCGGAGGATAGGGTCCTAGACTGTGCCCTATCCTCCACCACCACAGGATAGGGTCCTTTTTTTAATCTATGGACTCGGATGGGCCCTATCCTGCACATCATCCTCTCCCTCCCATCCCACCGGATAGGGCCCTGTGTTTTTCACTCTATGGGCTCGGGTGGGCCCCTAACCAACACCCGCACTGGATAGGGTCCTGCCTGTTTCATTCCACGAGCCTCAACCTGTCTCTCATTCCACTTTAGTGTGCCCTTCAGCGCGCAAAGGAAACGTCAATCGCTAAAATTGGACTGAGTTTTGTTTCACGTAGCTGAACTTCTTCTGAAGAGTACAAATTAGATTATAATTTACTACGTCAGTAATAGAGCTCACGTGCTATAGTGTTCCGTGTTCCCTACACTTACCTCGTTCACGCGGTGTTCAGCATACAGGATACGATGTTCGCATCAAGTCACTTGTATAAAATGTATATTTATCAGATGTTTATATGTTGTAAATACCAGTTTAAATTATTTATATGTCTGTGTTGTAAAATAAACCATTTTTTTTTCTCTCTAGTTTTTTATTATTTTAATGTAAATTCCTCCTATTATATGCAGGCGATGAGTCACAATAACGTGGCTGAAGTATGTTGACCAGACCACACACTAGAAGTTGAAGGGACGACGACGTTTCGGTCCGTCCTGGACCATTCTCAAGTCGATTCTCAATCGACTTGAGAATGGTCCAGGACGGACCGAAACGTCGCCGTCCCTTCAACTTCTAGTGTGTGGTCTGGTCAACACCTTCTATTATAATTGCAAGGTATAATTAAAATGATATTCGTGTAAACTATTGCAAGGATATATAAGAACATGTGAACATAAGAATGAAGATAACTGCAGAAGGCCTATTGACCCATTCGAGGCAGCTCCTATTTATATCCACCCAATCTCATTCATATATATATCTAACCCTTCGCTTGAAACAATCAAGGGGGCCCTACTTCCATTACGTTACGCGGTAATTGGTTCCACAAATCAACAATCCTGTTACCGAACCAGTATTTACCCAGGTCTTTCATAAATCTAAACTTATCCAATTTACACCCATTGTTCCGTGTTCTGTCACGAAACAATATCTGGTGAGGAGTGTAGCCCCATTTCTCTAAGAGTTTGTTGAGTACTGAGAGAAAGTACTGAACTAAATTTCTCCTGTCACTAAGTCACTGCGTGACTTAAGTGACTAAGTGTGACTTAAGTGACTAAGTCACTACGTGACTTAGTGGTCAGTCAGCAAGCTATCGTGGTGGCCTTAATAACACTCCAGGGGTCTTAAGTCCAACACAGGTGTTATAAGGACTTGAGTCCAACACAGAACCAATTTGCAAATAATTATGAGCATTAAATTAAAAGTTACAAGGCTGTGAGTCATGGTTAGCAGCTCGTATGACTGAAAGACGAAGTGTCAGTATTGAGACTTGATTGATGAGTTACATGCATGTGACAGCTGAAAAAGTCCCACACGCTTGTCCCAGGAGCGTGTGGGACTTTTGGCCTAGCTTCAATCAATCCCCAACCGTTCACAAGTGGTTGGGTACCATTCCTTCCCCCCTTCCCCCCACCGTCCAATCCCAAATCCTTATCCTGCCCCTTCCAAGTGCTATATAGTCGTAATGGCTTGACGCATTCCCCTGATAATCTTCTCCTGGGACACCCAAAAATATGCTAACGGGACCCCCAATGACTGAAACTATTCAACAAACGAAATCACATTCACACCCGAATCGACATCGAGGCTCGAACCCTGGATGTATGTCACCATTCAGCCAATGCATCAAGCCCCTTTTTGAAATTCTTGTCAGTAAAACTATGAACTGAAATGGAGTTTAAAATTTGATCTTTTAATATATCAGCTGTATCAATAAAGCATATTCTTAATGGTAAAGATACAATGAATTGAGAATGTACACGGCAGGCTTTATTGACATGGAAGATTCAAAACACAGGAACGACTTAGCGTTACAGACAGGGAACGACTCAGCGTAACAGACAGGGAGCGACTCAGCGTAACAGACAGGGAACGACTCAGCGTAACAGACAGGGAACGATTCAGCGTAACAGACAGGGAACGATTCAGCGTAACAGACAGGGAACGATTCAGCGTAACAGACAGGGAACGACTCAGCGTAACAGACAGGGAACGACTCGGCGTAACAGACAGGGAACGATTCAGCGTAACAGACAGGGAGCGACTCAGCGTAACAGACAGGGAACGACTCAGCGTAACAGGGAACGACTCAGCGTAACAGGGAACGACTCAGCGTAACAGGGAACGACTCAGCGTAACAGGGAACGACTCAGCGTGACAGACAGGAAACGACTCAGCATTACAAACAGGGAACGATTCAGCGTAACAGGGAACGACTCAGCGTAACAGACAGGGAAGGACCCAACAACTACTGAGACAACTGCTCCGCACTGTATTCTGTTTCTACATGTCTCTCTTTTTTCTGTGTCTGTCTCTCTGTCTCTTTGTGTCTGTCGTATTGCAAGATTCATCGAGGGGGGGTTGCTTCGGAATAATGTTAAGTGGCACTCTTTTAATGTATGCTAACTACTGTAAAAGTTGACTGAGATTAGTCTGAATGGTCTGGCCTCCAGCCTCAGACAAACAGACATTCTAAGAGAGAGAGAGAGAGAGAGAGAGAGAGAGAGAGAGAGAGAGAGAGAGAGAGAGAGAGAGAGAGAGAGAGAGAGAGAGAGAGAGAGAGAGAGACAGAGAGAGAGAGAGAATATTTGCTTTGGATATTGTTCCCATTGGATAGTACTTTTTTCTCTATGTGCACTAAGCACTGACGTGCAGTTTGACTTAGTAATTACCCGAGAAGTTTGGTTAGGGGGATTGAAACGTGTTCCCTGACAAATCACGTAATATGAGGCCCCCTCACACGATCACCCAACCACCACTGTCTCTGGCTTCGTCTCGCTAACGAGCTACAAAGGCCAAAATGCGAACCCCTTTTTTCGTGGTTTTGGTAACGCCGACCTGCATGAAGCGAGACCGTCGTTCTACTTAGAGAACGAGAGAAAGAAATAGGGAGATACAGAACGTAAACCTATTTTTTAAACGAATAAAATTATATCAATAAATGATTTGACGAATAAAAAAACATGAAAGCCAATTACTTTTCCCATTTACTAAGTCAAAGACGCTTCGCCTCACAGTAGCTGAAGCAGACCTTATAATCACCAGTCAAGTCCCGTTGGTCAGGGATTATAAACATAGCCCCCTTGTGTGGTCTCAAGAGAATCGACTTGAGAATGATCCAGGACGGACCGAAACGTCGTCGTCCCTTCACATTCTAGTGTGTGGTCTTGTCAACACAGCCCCCACGTACCGTACCTTGTACCGTTGAAGAAGGACAGACACATGCAGTACCGTCAAGGAGAGGAACATAGCGTACCGCTGACAGCGTAGATGTGTCGTGTACCGCCCCTCACGTACCG